TCAAACACTCAGTGGCTCTTTGGTTTGCAGCCTTCCAACAGTGACTAAATGCATGGGAAACAGAAGAAAAAGAAACATAAACACAACTTGCAGCTGGGAAAACATATTTTCAACCATTTGAACAACAAGAGTAAAATAAAAATGAGGAACATTTACACTTACAAAATGGCCTGCAGTAAATACAGATATAAGTATGTATGAGGTGTCGTACTGGTTTCCGGTGTTTTTGTATTTACCCGTTGGCTGTTGAACCAGTGAACTGTATAATTCTTCCACATCACTCTCTGCAGGAGATCTCTGGGACAAAAGTTGGAGAAAGATATGAAAGTTGATTAATTTCAAAAATGTTATTGATTTACTGGTGTATATTGTATAATTAAAATAATATGCTTTTTAGTGCACTTATTTTGTGTAACATTTGTTTGACACTTTTGAGTTTTACCTCGCCTGAAGTTTCTCTCATGTATCTTGCTTCCCCCTTCAGCCTGTGTTGGAGAAAAAAACTTGTTAATGTACCTAATTGTATTAGGTACATTAACATTGGCACATTTGAAATAGTATATTATTAGTTTGGGAAGAAATACTTGTTTGAGTTCTGATTGCAGTAACTGTACCTTCTTAACAACGATACATATAAAGTATAAAATAAATCAATTACAATGATGTCCTCTCGACCTCTAAATGTAATGTCTTCGCTGTGAAAAGTTATATTAGGAAAATAAATCAAATATTTTACCGTTGTTGAGGCTGATGATTCTAATTCTTTCACACACAGTAACGTCACAGCTACCCACAATGCAACGCGCGCCATATATTTTTTTATAAAGACGCCATTTTTCTGGAGGTGCAAAAATCCTGCCGATGCTAATATAAACAGCTAGCTAATGTAGCCAGGCAGGGCGCACTAGGTTTTTTTTCTGAATTAACGACCGAAGAAATCGCTGCATGTCTTCGGATTACATCTCTGGACTTGAGGGGTGTGCTCTAGGTCGTTACCAGCGTAAACTAGAGCTGTGTGGGTTGTTGGATGTACAATGTATGGAATTACGACCCTCAAAAGTGGCCTTCGGTCGATTTTGGCAGCATCTACGTCTATCTTCTGGAAACACCAGGTGAATACCCCACTTGTCACAATAATATTATCATGCCAATGCATATATGTGGTATTTTAGAGTTGACTATATTGATTAAGGAATAGACTATGATATTCTGTATGCACCTCGTGTGAAATGGTTGATACCGGAAGTACGGTGTCGCCCTCGGCCCAAAACCCGTATGTGTGTGTGAAAGAATGAAGCTTAGCGCAAGTTCAGACAGGAAGACCTATCACTCCGTATTGCATGTCATAGCAATACTCGCTCCCTGCATCTAAATGAGAGGGAGCGCCACTCCTCAGCTAACCTATCACTCCCCTCCATTTACAAGCCTAATCATCGCACCTGTTAATCCCTCTATATATGCTCTCCCCTTTCCTATCGGCTGTCTTCCAGGTGTCAACGCGCAACCCTCCTCCACCCCTTCGCCTCCTGCTTCCAACTCAGGACAAAGCTTAACCTTCTCCCTTCCAACCGGACCTAACCACTTATCACCACCACCAGTGTCTAGACCCAGGGGGGTTCATCGGAAACGGTTCTTCCCTTCCCGATTGATATCCTACAAAACCTGGGCCTAATCGCCAAAACACCATTTCATTCACTTGTTATGAACTGTCATCATTATGTTTCATTTATATAATGTGACCGATAATAAATATGTATTCCATACATCACGTCTCTCCTGATTGAACTATTGTCGGCTCTAAAAGAGACATAAAAGCACCTGTTAGTTACACACCTGTATTTCATAAAAATACATAAATGGTTCAAGGAAGAGATCACGATATATTTACCTTGTCGTTTGTACATAAACCAGATGAACAAGTTCACCATTACAAAGATGATCAGCAAACTCCAACGGATGATGAAGATCTTTAAGTTCCCTGAAACACTGCGGCAGGAATTAATAAATAAAAACACACAATGCAAATGACAGACTTGTTTGAACAGTCCAACAACAACGTTGGATAAAAATGTGAAGGTCTCTCACCTTTGCTGTTCAACCTCAACAGTGGAAAGTGCTTGGTCTGCAGAACTAGTGGTGTGCTTCACAGGCTCAGGGGTGTTCTTCACAGGCTCAGGGGTGTTCTTCACAGGCTCAGGGGTGTTCTTCACAGGCTCAGGGGTGGCAGGACTTTTTGCTGCAAAAGTGGATGTAATGACATGTGGATATACATGTAGCTACTAGAGTAAAAGGACAATACAAAAGTATAACATTTCATTTTTATTAAATAAATAAACCAAAAAACAAAATTAATTGCTTTACCTAACAAATATTTAGAATAGTATATTTTTAATTTAGAAAGGCTTATAACACTTACTAGTTGTAGGTTTCTCAGTAACAGTTATGTGCACTGGCATCTCTGAGACTCCTATAACACACAAATACCAGCCGCTGCTCTCTGTCCTCAGTCCGCTCAGAGTCACAGTGAGAACATCAGGATCCTTCAAATTCATGGTCACTCTTGAGTTATCTAACCATCCAGTCGGCCATGTCACACAGGAGCTGCCCAGTCTGCACCACAGTATGTCTCCAAAGTTATGATAGTGATAATTGATGGTTATTTCTCCTCCTCTGAATCCTGTCATCATCTGTTCATCCACATAAAGATGTGGTGGGCCTTAATGGAAAACATAATTCAATGGAAACTTGTAAGCAGCATAGTTGGTACATGCTCCTGATGTTTAAATAAATGTTTAATATAGTTACATCTGGCAAATACATCATTTGGCTCTTATCTCCTGTGACTGACAGGTGGAAACCTGTTCTCGAATCATATCCTCCATTAATGTCCATAGCACACCAGTAATCACCAGTGTCCTCTTCAGTCAGATCATTTATAGTCACAGTGAAGACTTTTTGTTTTTTGTCATCAGAGATCGGACACTTTCCTGAACTGCTTGGTTTGTTTGTTTTAACTTTATCAGAACAGAAGGCCCAAGTAGATCCTTTACACAAGTATTTCACATTGTTTATGTACTGTGACTCATAGAGACACGGGATGGTGATCGAACCTCCAGCTCTCACTGACACTTTACTGACTGTAGTTATGCTGTGAATTCCTGCAACAAAAGTAATACAGCATTATAAAAAGATAAATAAAAAATGATCAATACTCTTCCTTTAGATGGCCTACATAATGTTGATGTTCATATCAACTCATGTTTAAATAAATTACGTCAATAAAGCCTTCAAAATATTAGAAATTCACTCTAGCATACACATAAAAGATGTTTTTAAGTCTTGATTCTTGTGCCTGACCTGTAAGTCCAGTGAAGATGAGAAGAAAGCTCAGTTGAACCGTCATGTCGGGGAGTGAGTGAGTCAAGCTAAACCACATGAACCCTATCACTGACAGACTGAGTCTTTAGTTCCTTTTTTGCAACTCTTATATCTTTCCTTCCTCCTCTCCTCTCCTCCTCCTCCCTCCTCCTCCTCCTCTCCTCCTCCTCCCCCTCCTCCTCCTCCTCCTCCTCCTCCTCCTCCTCCTCCTCCTCCTCCTCCTCCTCCTCCTCCTCCTCCTGTAAGACTGTCACAATTGTTAAATAATTTATATTCTGTATATAAACTAGAGTTTGCTGTTTTACTACAGCTCAATTTAACAGTTTTGTTTAATTTAATTACAAATGTATATGGTATATAACACTTGCTATTTAAGTGTATGTGTTTTGTATGTACTTTATATATATAATATATATATTATAATACAATACATTGTTTTTTTATTTAGGGTTACCTTGTCTGCAGTTTTCTCACATGCTTAACGTTTATATCTGCATACGTTTATATTTCTCTTCAGTCTGATAACGATTCAAGCCAAATGTTTTTTAATTGTTTATAAAATAGATGTGTAGTAAACCAGATCTGATTAGATTCCATGTGGACATCTTTGGGAATATAGAAAAGCATGAAGCACTTCTTATAAATACTATCTTTGTTAGGTGTACATGATCAGAGGAATTACAATGAAGGTTTATCTATGCATACTGCACTTTTAAAGTATAATTTACAGTGTAGACTTTGGGGGAAGGTCCAGAGGTCAAAAAGGTTTTAAACAAGAGACCATCAGTAACTAAAACATGTTTACTAATTAAAACATTACAGTACAAGTAATTGCAAACTTTAAGCCATTTTCAATTAAAAATACAAATAGTAAAGCTTCAAATATAAGGAGTTATGTACATGTATATAAAAACACGTTTCCCATTTAAAAACCTGTGTTTCAGTAAACAAAGTGTAGACACATGCAAACTTAAGAATGTAAACTTCCATTGATTAACCTGCTGCTTAAAGAGGACATCAACCTTTTGAACAAGAAACAGAGCAGTTCTTATAATCTTTTGAATGTACAAGTCACCTATTGGTGAATGTCTTTTTTTCTACAGTATATTGAACCTCAAAGAATATGTCAAACCCATGCCATGAATACAAATTGAAAAGACAATTTAGAAACACTACCATTATGGAAGTGACATTTCAGTCGGAGCAGATGATTAGACAATAAGAATAAGAAGAGGAGGAAGACAACTGCAGATCAATTGTTTAATTATTTTGGTTGCATCTTTAATGTTTTGTTATTTAATATCATTAATTTTACACCAAACATCACATAACAAACATTATGGTAAAATAAATGCTTTTTTGGTTCTGAATTATCATTTTTTGAAGAGTGTAGAAAGCTTTTGTGAATGCATAAGTAAGGTTTGTTGGATGGATTATTTAAAAACAAACCTGTGAAATCTTGAATTGAAGGTGATCGTGGGAAACTAGGCCCAAGTCAGTACTTTAAAAAATATATATATGTTGCAGCTGTGTAGAGGAGATAACTAAAAGCAGAAGGTGCAAACCATAAAAAAAAGAAGTAAGAGGTTTCTGCAAAACCAAAGAGCAGATGATAGCAAGTTGCAACAACATCATTACAAAACAAAACTCCAGTGATACAGATGTAGGGTTGTGGGAAAACATTCACAGGTTTTCTGGAACTAAGGCATGTTGCTGTTTGTTACATCCTCATCTTCTGCTTCAACCTGTTGCAGAACAGAATACAACATGTAATAGCTGAAAAAATATCAAACATAAACCTACTTATTCAATACTAGCACCTGATGAAAGTTGATTATTTTGAAAATCAACTCATTTCAAATTGTTTGTTGAATTACTGGTGTATATTGTATAATCAAAATGATAATACATTAACCTATGTGCCTTTTCGTGCAGTTATTTAGTGTTGTACAAGTTATGGTTTTAATGGTTAAGGGTTACCTTGCCTGAAGAAGTTCTCACATATCTTACTTCCCCTTCAGCCTGTGTTTGAGAAAAAAGAACATCATTTACAGATTAAATTAACAAATCGTTTTTACTGTATCTTCTTAACAACAGAAATGTACAGTATGAAACCATAGTAAACAAAAATAATGTAACATTACCTTCTCTTTACTTCCAAACCAGAAGGCCTATCAGGGAACAGTCACATTGGGAAATGAATCCACATATGTTACCGTTGTGGCTGATGATTCTACTTTTATCTGCTCTAAAAGGGAGAGAATAAAAACAACTGTCACTGACTCCTGATTTTTTTGACAACAGCAATGTAAATGTGTCCTTATTTCAAAATAATTATTGCCCAAAAAACTGAAATTGCTAATACAAACTGTTTGAAAAGAAAATGTTACTGAATACTTACGTTGTCTTTTGTATATAAACCAGATGAACACGGTCACCATAACAACGAAGATTACCACAGCCACGCGGATAACAAAAGTCTTCAAATGTTCATAAGGACTGCAGCAGGAAATTATAAGCACCAAAATGATTGTTAAAGAATGACAGGATTTTTTTAAACAACATAAAATGTACTCATCATCCTGGTCTGTGTATTGCACTATAGGCCTACTGTTTTACTAAATCCTATACAGTTTTTCTAACTCATTGTACAGTACATTGTCTAATGCCAGTAAAACATATAGAGATTTCCCCACAATTGTTTTTTTATCACAAAATGGCAACTTTTATCCAAACACAAGGTGTTTCTCAATGTCGAGGAAGGCTGCTCCAGAGCCACTATTTCAAGCATACTATGTCATCGAGTGCCGCTGAAGGACTGTTCCAATGTCCAGCATACTTGGAATTCTACCGAGGCCGGCGTACTTCGTAACGAGACATTTCTAGACTGCACGTGTGTAGACTCCGCGGTCTTAAAACCCCCACAATGCTTTGCGCACGGACCAATTTCCAAATCTTTGGCGGAAATCGTGCTCCATTTAAGGCAGGGCCTTGCATATGACGCACACCTGCACACCTGTTATGATTCTTGCCTTGCTTCTGAAGCAAGTGACTCGGAAGACATGTGCTACCAAGCAAGCATCCTCGACATTGAGAAACACCCACTGTATGTAATGAAAAGGTTACTGACCTTGTGTGCCCACCCTGAGCTATTACCCCTGTAACATGACAAAATAGAATGCTAATATTCTCACTCAAATCAACACAAAGATTGATGCATTTGAAAATTCAATGTACTTATAACACGTACTAGTTGTATGTTTCTCAGTAACAGTTATGTCCACTGGCATCTGTACATTTCCTTTAACCCACAAATACCAGCCACTGCTCTCAGTCCTCAGTCCTCTCAGAGTCACAGTGAAAACACCAGTGTTGTGTGCATTGATGTCGACTCTTGTTCCATCTATTGATCCAGACCGTGTCACACAGGAGCCGCCAAGCCTGCACCACTTCCTTTCTCCAGAGTTTTGATAGTGACACTTTATCTCCTATAAATCCTGTAATCTCTTGCTGACCCATATAGAGACTAGAAGCAAATGGGCAGTCAAGAAGACCACTTGAACCTAAACACTGGCAGACCAATTCTTTATTTCCTTTTTTTCTACACGTAATAACTCTACTTCTCCTCCTCCATCTGTAAGACAGACCCAATTACAGTAGTAAATGATGTATGTTTTGTTTGTGATATATACTCACTGCAGTTTGTTTCGCTACCACAGAGCACACATCACTCTTAGCATCTGACATCCTAAAGACATCAAACAGATTAATTGAACCGATTTTTTTTATTCAGTTACAAATGGGTACGGTGAAATAATAAAAGCTAGAATACTTATGTGTATTTTTATATTATCTATTACATAGTTAGTTATTTGCTTAGTTTTCCCCACATGCCTAACATTGCTGTGTTTGGCGTCCTCTTCAGTCAGAGGAAGATTCAAACCAAACGTCTTTTTAAATAAAAACGATGTGTCATGACCAGATCTGATGAGATTTAATGCATGGTCATCTTTATTATTAATAAAGTACAAGCAAAACATTTTAAGAATACTTTATTTGTAAGGCCGGATCAGAGGAATTACAATTAGAGTTCACTAGATAACAATGCCTCTAAAGTGCACCTTTACAATATAATTTACTGTAGACTTTGGGACAAGGTCCATATTTCTAAACAAAAGAATAGCACTTCAGGCATATGGACTGAAACGTGTTCTTTTATTTAAAACATGAAACCACGACAAACATTTTAAGTATGTTTCAAACACGCACAATGCATAAAAAGTGGAGACATAATATTAACACTACCAAAATGCCATCAGAAAGTTGCTGTTTCAAACAGAAGGGTTAAATATATAAGAAGAAGAAGACAAGGAGGATGGCAGAAACTGAAATATCAACTCGTGATTTATTGCATTATCATGTTTATTTTAGTTGACTTATTTTGTACTTTAAACATTATAATTCATGTTCCATCAAACATTAAACAAAAAAAACACATAATACAAGACGTAAATGAACAAACATAATTAAACAACCTGTAAGATTTGTTTGGTTCCTCCTGAATGTTCAGGATCTTGGTCATTTTGTAAGATTGTAGAAAGCTTTTGTCAATGCATAAAATCTCTTGAGCTTAAGTAGATTGTTGGAGAAAATGTGCTTTGGGTTGTGCACGGGGTTTGTCTATGTGTGTGTGAACGCGTCATCATCCAATCTGCGCACCTGCACGGGAGGTAATTAACCTATATATGTGGGCACAGGTGATCAGCTGGGATGAGAGGTTAGAGAGGAAGCCACACGTTTTTCAACCGTGTTGACCGTGATTGTTTGTGTCTGAGCGTGTGCGTGATCGTTATGTTTTAAACAATATTTTGGATACGTGAGACTTAAAAGAAAATTTTAACCGTGGACAAATAAATAAAAGCATTACAAATTACGTCATGGTGGACCTCATCCTTCACCACAACACGCGTTGGGAACTCTGACTGCTAACCTCCATGAGTGGCCTTTTTTGATGAGCGATCGCCGCTACAGATATGAAGGGGGGGAAAAAAAAGAAAGCGGTTTCTGCAAAGCCAAAGATCAGATGTCGGCAAGTTGCAAGACTGTCATCTCAAAAAAGCCTCCAGCGATGAGCATAGATGTAGGGTAGGGGGAACATTCACAGGTTTCTCTTGTGCTAAGCCAACCTGCTTTATGTTACATCATCTTCTTCCGCTTTAATCTGTTGCAAAAGTGAAGAAAAAATTACATTAGGGAGGAAAGATCAAAGAAAAAACGTACTTTTGCCTAACAGCTCTAACAGGCTGGACACAATGCTTTGAGCTAAATGCTAACGTAACATTGTCCTAACAATGTCAACAAAGGCTGAAGTGCTAATATTTAGCAGGACTGTTTACCATGTTCATAATCTTAGTTTAGCCAGTATCAATGCCAACATTTGCTAACACAAATCCAAAAGGATAACTGAGGATGGTGGAAATTATCTTTCATAGTATTTGGTCATTATCAACAAACTACATTTCTGACCTGATTATGGCGCTATATGAAAATGTAAGGGATCACCACATTTGTAAGGATACATTATTTGGACACCAGGACCATCTGTACCAAATAGTTTAATGATCCATCCAACAGAACAGACAGAAATCGGTATCAATATATAGACACGCTTCTATTTTGCCTTCAAAATGTGGAGTAACAGCTTCACTATTACCATAGAATACAACATTTAAATGAAAATGTACCCTTTGTTTAGTTTGACGTTCTACAGCGACCACAGAGTAGTACATCACGTCCACATCTCTATTAGCTTCTGACCACTGTGGAAGAACGAAGAGACGGACTCGATCAGATCAATTTTACAATTTAACTTTTGATTTTGCTTCATAAAAACAAATGTTTATGATGAAATAATAAATGCTGCCTGAGAGAACTTTCTAATTCTGTAATCCTGTTGTGAAATAAAAGTTGTGGTTTTATTGCTTAAGGGTTACCTTTTCTGAAGCTCTTCTCATGTGTTTAACATCGCTGTATGTTACTTCCTCTTCAGCGAGACCAAGCTGCAAACCATCAACATGAACATGAACAATTCTTCCTTTTTAGGGTAAACAGCTGATCATTTGAATCACCATAAGAGTTTACCCAAAACCTACCTCTAAATAGTTTTATTATTTAAATTTGTAATGTTCTGTGCCAATCATTTTTGACCTGAAGTCTTTCTCTTTTTCTTGACAGTACTGTATGTTACATCCGCATTAGACTGTGTTAAAAGAGCAAAGGACAGAATTTGAACGACAAATAAGAACCAAAAGCCTAATGTTCAAATGTGTAATGATCCATCCAACAGAACAGACAACAATGGCCACCCATATATAGACACGCTTCTATTTTGACTTCAAAATGTGTAGAAAAAGCTTCACTATTACCATAGAATACAACATTTAAATGAAAATGTACCTTTTACAAAGAAAGAAATAGTATGAATAAGATTAATAATAAGATTAAGAGTAGGGTAATAAGTATTAATGTGCTGTCTACAGTGATTCATTGTAGCTTCAAAGGGACAGTACAGTAAAGTCTTATTTTATCTGGAATTGCTGCAGTGTGACATTAATTAATTTCCTTTCTTGTAAATAAATGTATTTGGAAATTAATGATCATATCTTACAATTATTGTGGCTGGGGATTCTTCTTTGGTCTGTCCTAATAGTGAAGCAATAAAAAGTATTTTTAGTGACAATAATGCACAGTTATCTGCATTAATACTAAATATATTTATGATTAACGCACAATAATTAAAATGCTATTATTTGGATTGAGCATAATTCGGCATAGACTTACTGTGCTTTTTGAACATAAACCAAATAAACATGGCCACCATAACAATGAAGATCAGCAAACTCAAAGGGATGATAAAGCTCTTTAAGTTCCCTGAAAAACTGCAGCAGGAATAAATAAAAATAAAAAATACAATGTAAATGACAGACTTGTATAAACAGTCAAAATGTGCATGATAACGAGAAAGTCTCTCGCCTTTGCTGTTCGCCATCAACAGTGGAAAGTGCTTGGTCTGCAGAACTAGTGGTGTGCTTCACAGGCTCAGTGGTGTGCTTCACAGGCTCAGTGGTTTGCTTCACAGGCTCAGGGGTGCTATGACGTGTTGCTGCAAAAGTGAATGTAATGACATGTGAATATAGCTATTAGAGTAAAATGACATTAATATTTGCTAAGATTTCAATTTGATTAACTAAATAAATAAAAAATTACCTTACCCAACAAATATTGAAAATGTTATATTTTGAAATTAAGAATGACTTATAACACTTACTAGTTGTAGGTTTCTCAGTAACAGTTATGTGCACCGGCATCTGTAAGTCTCCTTTAACGCACAAATACCAGCCGCTGCTCTCTGTCCTCAGTCCGCTCAGAGTCACAGTGAGAACCTGGGAATCAATCGCATTGATGGTGACTCTTGAGTTATCTAACGATCCATTCAGCCATGTCACACAGGAACTGCCCAGCCTGCACCACTTTATATCTCCAGCGTTATGATAGTGATAATTGATGGTTATTTCTTCTCCTCTGAATCCTGTCATCATCTGTTCATCCACATAAAGATGTGGTGGGCCTTAATGGAAAACATAATTCAATGGAAACTTGTAAGCAGCATAGTCGGTACATGCTCCCGATGTTTGAATAAATGTTTAATATAATTACATCTGGAAAATACATAATTTGGCTCTTACCTCTTTCGGCTGACAGGTGGCTCTTACTATTTGTTACTGACAGGTGGAAATATGTTCTGGAAATGTATCCATTACTATTCTCCACAGCACACCAGTAATCACCAGTTTCCTCTTCAGTCAGATAATTTATAGTCACAGTGAAGACTCCTTGTTCTTTGTCATCAGAAATCGAAAACTTTCCTGAACTGCTTGGATTGTTTGTGTTAACTGCATAAGAACACAAGGCCCAATAATATCCTTGACATAAGTATTTCACATGGTTTATATACTGTGACTCATAGAGACAAGGGATGGTGATCGAACCTCCAGCTCTCACTGACACTTTACTGACTATAGTTATGCTGTGAATTCCTGCAACAAAAGAAAATACAGCATTATAAAAAGATAAATAAAAAAAGATCATTGCTCTTCCTTTAGATGGCCTACATAATGTAGATGCTCAAATTAACTCATGTTTAAAGAATTTCGTCAATAAAGCCTTTAAAATATTAGAAATGCACTCTATTGCATACACATAAAATATGTTTTTAAGTCTTGATTCTTGTGCCTGACCTGTAAGTCCAGTGAAGATGAGAAGAAAGCTCAGTTGAACCGTCATGTCGGGGAGTGAGTGAGTCAAGCTAAACCACATGAACCCTATCACTGACAGACTGAGTCTTTAGTTCCTTTTTTGCAACTCTTAATATCTTTCCTCCTCCTCCTCCTCCTCCTCCTCCTCCTCCTCCTCCTCCTCCTCCTCCTCCTCCTCCTCCTCCTCCTCCTCCTCCTCCTCCTCCTCCTCCTCCTCCTCCTCCTCCTCCTCCTCCTCCTCCTGTAAGACAGTCACAATTGTTTTATAATGTATGTACTGTGTATAAACTAGAGTTTGCTGTTTTACCACAGCTCAATTGAACAGTTTTGCTTAATTTAATTACAAATATATATGGTATATAACACTTGTAATATAAGTGTGTGTTTTTTATGTACTTGTATATTTTAATACAATATATTGTTTTTTTATTTAGGGTTACTTCATCTGCAGTTTTCTCACATGCTTAACGTTTATATATTTTACTTTCTCTTCAGTCTGATAACGATTCAAGCCAAATGTTTTTTTATTGTTTATAAAATAGATGTGTAGTAAACCAGATCTGATTAGATTCCATGTGGACATTTTTGGGAATATAGAAAAGCATGAAGCACTTCTTATAAATACTACCTTTGTTAGGCACACACGATCAGAGGAATTACCATGAAGGTTTACTAATATCTATGCATACTGCACTTAGTATAATTGACTGTAGACTTTGGGGGAAGGTCCAGAGGTTACAAATGTTTTAAACAAGAGACCATCAGCGACTAAAACATGTTTACTAATTAAAACATTACAGTACAAGTAAGTGCAATCTTTAAGCCATTGTATATTCAATTACAAATAGAAATAGTAAAGCTTCAACTATAAGGTGTTATGTACATGTCTACATAAAACACGTACTTTTTTTTTTTTTTTTTTGGACGTTTATTGGACTGTTTTGGTGTTTTAGGGACGTCTGGAATCCGTCCCTTGAGGGTCGGGTTCTATTACGATTATTGTGTTATGTCACGTTTTGTATGTCTTGTTTTGGGTGTTTTGCTGTTCTCCCTGTCATGTTTTCCTCTTGTTCTATATCGTATAAGGCTTCGCCCTCTAAGGCTATCGCTATTGGGTAATCCCCTCTGCACGTGTGCAGCACTGACAGACTTATTCCACGCCCACCTATGATGTGGGCCCCACCTCCAGGCTCACTTCCGTATAAATAGGAAGTAGGCCCTACAATCCACTCCTACTTTTCTTCAGCACTCCGTTGCAGAAGCATTGACAGGCAAAACAAGTTATTTTAAGAGCTACTTACTGAAAAGCAAACATTCCTCCTAAAAAGCTTTGTTTTTCTGGTAAGATGGAGACTGGGCAGGAAAGTCAAGGTTGCGTTAGGGATTGACAGAGGTGGGACCAAGTCATTGTTTTGCAAGTCCGAGTCAAGTCTCAAGTCTTTGCGCTCAAGTCCGAGTCAAGTCTCAAGTCATTGTTTTGCAAGTCCAAGTCAAGTCTCAAGTCAGGATGGGCAAGTTCAAGTCAAGTCAAGTCCTAAACTTTGACAAAACGAGTCATAAACAAGTCATTATGTGTTTTTCACCAAATGTAATGACATCGATCAACAGAATAATACTTAATAATCAAATTGCTCTTTATTAGTCACATTAATAATTTAATAATCCATTTTCTAGTAAGTAACGTGTGTTTTTCTAATTTAAGAGGGATCAGTAAGGTAAGGCTACCGTGACGGTTTGATTCAGAAGGAGTTTAATGTATAAGATCCCTGATGTTGAGGTAACCAGAATGTTTATTTCCACTGTGTACATGTTATAATGGACCCACAATCTATCTTTATGCAAGGGATAATGTGCAGCGAGGCGGTCTCTATGGGGAAAAGAACACCTGAATCTAGATCCCTCTGCAGGTGGTACTTTAAGTATATTTTGATGCTAATACTTTTGTACTTTTACTTGTAACATTTTGAATGCAGGACTTTTTATTGTACAGGGTTCCTGCAGGTTTCGCCAACTCAAATTTAAGACTTTTTAACACCTTTTTAAGACCACTTTGAATAGAATTTAAGACCTATTTCACGGCAATAAAGTATGAAGGAAAATGTATATAAAGAAGAAATACGTCCCATAATCACTTACAAAGTAAATGTATTCATGTTCAACATAAGAACAATGACTGAACACAACAGCGTAACAGTACAGAACTGTGTTAGCGTGTTAGACAAAAAGTGTGTATGTGTGTGGGTCTGTGTGTGCTTGAGTGTGTGTGTGTGTGTGTGTGTGTGTTAGGGCTGTGCAATTAATCATATTTTAATCGCAATTACGATTTTGGCCTGCCACAATTACGAAAACAACATAATCGGAAAAAACGATTATTTTTGCTTTGCTAGGTTGTGACAGTGCACCACAACATATTTGATCTAATTAATTTTTTAGTAATGCATCATTTATTTAATTAATTTTTGTATTAGTTTTTCAGTTGAATTATACGTTCAGGGTAATCAACAGTTAAAAATATACTGTTCAAATTATTATTTGTTTTAAAGTTCAATAAATGGATGTTTTCAAAGTCAATGAATAATCATATTTAATAATCGTGATATTAATTATTGACCAACATAATCTTGATTATTGCCATAATCGAGCAGCCCTAGTGTGTGTGTGTGTGTGTGTGTGTGTGTGTGTGTGTGTGTGTGTGTGTGTGTGTGTGTGTGTGTGTGTGTGTGTGTGTGTGTGTGTGTGTGTGTGTGTCTCTGAGAGAGAGTGAGCTATATTCAGAGCTCTGCTGCCTTAGCTACACTATTTCATCGTTGCTGTTGTATGATTGGTGTTTAGCTACGGTATTTAGCGTCTACAGCACCTCCGCTTTTAGGGTTGACGTAGACCCAAACTTCGCCCGGAGGTCCCCCGGTGTTGTTGCGGGAGCTGCTGCACTCGCTAACACTCCACTAGCTAACGCTACATTAGCAAAACAAACGCTAATTTATTTTGCAAAAGGTGCAGCGGGCTTCAAACACGTTCCCTCCACTGGTTTCAACCAAGCACTAAATTAGATGTTTTCCAACAAAATACGGTTGAACTGACACTTCCCCATATTTATTTGTAAGTAGATTCGAAGATAGGCTACATGAGCTGAAGCTTGGTTGCTAGGTTACTAGCTGGGTGTTCTCCAATAAGGGGCCGGGGAAAACAAAGTTAGTGATTACTGGTTCCATGTTGATTTAATTCAATACAAATTGTTGGGGGGAACTGAAAGGCTATTACCGTACTGGTTACTTTGCAGCCCGGACATTTCCCCCAAAACACATTTAGACGCTATCGCAACATAGAAGTATCTTTCAAATCCGATAATTTTTAAGACCTTCTGAATCATATTTAAGACCTTTTTAAGGCCTTAAAAACCCTGCTCTGAAGGTTATTTTCATTTTACAAATCCTGCACTCAGCTTTGCTTTCTCCAATATAATTGAAAAGCAGCCAGATGCTGCTTATTTTTTCGGTTTTCGCTCATTTCTTGACTTTTTCCGACGCGCTTGCATTTAAATCCGTCTCCCCGTCGCTCTGTGCAGCTGGCCTGTACCACTACACATGCTGTGCCCCCCACCCTTCTTTCACATAATGGTATGATCCTAGTGTGTCCTCGCATATGATTGGCCGCATGGTGGAACGCTAAATAAAGACCCGCCCCTGCCTGCAAGGATTCTCAGCAAGAGTAGGAGCGGCTGAAGATTCTGCTTTCCCCGACGGGAGTCTGCTCTTCTAGCGGCAGCTCGCGATCGGCGTGTTGGAGACCTCTGAATTAAAGTAGCAAGTCACCTCAAGTCAGAAGGCTCAAGTCCAAGTCAAGTCCCGAGTCATTGGTGTTCAAGTCCAAGTCGAGTCGCAAGTCTTTTGTGATGTTGTCAAGTCGAGTCTCAAGTCATAAAATGTGTGACTCGAGTCTGACTCGAGTCCAAGTCATGTGACTCGAGTCCACACCTCTGGGGATTGCCTCGTATGCGGGTCGGGCTACATTATGAGCTTTGACAGGCACTCACAGTGTGAGTCCTGCCTGGGAATAGAGCATGCGAACGCTGCTCTCACTCCCGGGGTATCATGCTCGCATTGTGCCCGTCTTCCGCTGGCCCTCAGACAGCAGAGAGCGGACGCTCTCGCTGCTGCAGCTGCCAGTACTCCGGGGACAAAGCCCTTGATTTCATGTGGAACTACTTGAGCAGGTCTCCCTTGAAAAATAGATCAATGATCTCAATGGGATTAATCTGTATAAATAAAGGTTTGAAATGAAATGAATTTCCTGGATCCGAATGGCGGGCACGAGTCGGACGACTACGTCCCCTCCATTCAGGGATCACCGGGTGAGGAGTCCCCCATTATCTCTCCCCTCCGGACGGAGGAGACAGGTAGGGAACCCGGTGTAGGTCCGGTGTATGATCCCGTGATCCCTATCTCCGCCACCGCGGCGTTGCCGTCGATTGGCGGGATTCTCCTGGAACTTCCGGAGATTATATCCAAGGCGGCCGCCTGGAGAAATCTCCCCGTTCCCCTAGCTCAGGAGAGCTCGCCTCCGGATGACATGTCCGGGGTGTCCTCCCGGGTACACAGGGTAAGGAGTGACCCGGTCTGGCCACGCTTCCCGGCCATAAGGAAGTACCAGGAGGGGGCGGCGGAGGACCCTGGAGCAATGAGGGCTCCGATAGGGACATACGTGCCCCTCACGAGAGTGGTGGGATTCACGGATGTAGGTTTCCCGACCGTGCCTCCTCTAGAGCCGAACCGTCACGGCGTTCTTTGGGGCTAGGCAGGCCAGCGCAGTTACCGGACGGCAACCCATGCTGGTTGCCACCAAAGATCGGTTTGTCGCCCGACAGACGGACAGAATGCACCAGTGTGCGTTTCAGGCGTCAGCGGCGGCGAACAATATAGCGTTGCTGTCAAACTTCATGGTGGAAATTTCCGAGCGGTCAAAAATGATGTCTTCAGTGGAGGCTGAGGAGATAGGGAAGGCGGCCAGTACTGCACTTACACTGTGCGCAGCAGTCGCAGTCTCACAGGCGCGGATTGCGGCATGGGCGACACAGGTCCACCGGTATCTCTGGCTACAGCAGGGGAATATACTGGAGGGTGCAGGAAAGGATCTGCTGGAGGCTCCAATCAGTCCGGACGGACTATTTGGACCACAGTTCCACACCATGGTGGAGACTATGAAATCTGCGGCAGAGCAGGCAGATGACATAAGGCGTCACGCTAGCTGGCTTAGGGACAAACGGCCTCAGCGACAGCAGCGGCAGCAACGACAGCACCCGCAGCCCCCGCAACAGTCTCAACGGGGGCAGCGCGGACAGCGGCGCGAACAGCAACGGCGTCAGAATCGCCCTTCGGCAGCTGCAGGGGCTCCGTCCCAGGTCTCCGCTCCTCCGCCGCAGAGACAGGATCTGCAGGCGACGAGCCGGAGGGGAAAAAGATGGCAGCCCTCTAAGGTTCGGGCCCCACTGGTTCCGCGAATAGCTGAAGAAAAGCTGTTGGAGTGGATTGTAGGGCCTACTTCCTATTTATACGGAAGTGAGCCTGGAGGTGGGGCCCACGTCATAGGTGGGCGTGGAATAAGTCTGTCAGTGCTGCACACGTGCAGAGGGGATTACCCAATAGCGATAGCCTTAGAGGGCTGCGCCTATACTCATAGAAGCTGGGTTACATTACGTAACCCCAGGTATATTGTCTGGTCCTTTTCCCTGTGTTTTTCCTCCTGTCGTTAGTTTCCCTGGTGTGTTGTCTGATTGTGTTCACCTGTGGCCCTTGTGTTTCTCCTCCCCTGCCCGGCTGTTTCTCGTCTTGTGATTACCCCTCCCTGTATTTAGTCTTGTCTCTTCCTGTGTTCAGTGTTGGTTCGACGTTTGTCTGTGACTGTGTTCACCGGGGAGTGTTCTGACTGCCCACACGAGACCGCTCCGTTTAGCTCCAACCGCTGGAGAAGCTGCAGTACATATGCAGGAGCCTGTACGTGGCGCTGTAACTTCCTCCACAAAAGCAGCGAAGAAGCATGGTTGTCATGGTTGCCCTTCTGTTTATTCTCCGCGGTGGGGGCCGAGGGAACCGGGCAGAGTTTTTCGCCAGTCAACGTGTATTAAAGTTTAAATCTTCCGACAAAATTATAAAAGTGCCGGTCAAAGGTCTTCTTTGTTATTTATTGAGCTTTAAAACAAATGAATAATGACTCTATATAATATAATAATATAAATACACAGAGCCTCCCTCTCTTCGGACAGCGCCAGTGTCTGTTTCATGCAGCAGCTGATCCAGTAATGAGTGACCCGGCCGACAGTAAAAATAAACATATTTATAACTAGTTTAGGTAGTTTGAGAGGTGTCTCCGTCCTGTCAGATTAGACTTCACTCGCGTTTATGTCCATATCGAGAGAAAGATAAATAACCTGAATTCAGTGTGCAGTTTACTTTGACGCGGGGGTGAGCAGCAGAGGTGGGGAGAGGCGGGGCTATTGCGCAATCATTATCAGAAAATGATCGCTGAAGCTGCAGTACATATCCACAAAAGCAGCGAGTAAGATCCCCCCCGGATGTGTAAGTCTGCTGTAGATGTTGCACAAAGAACTGTAGCATGGTCAGTAGCGTCCGGAGCACGATAGCAACTCTGCGATCCGCCATTGTTGTTGTTGTTGGTGGCGAAACACATCAGCAATGGCGCGGGGTACGCGGAGGTGAGCAGCAGAGGTGGGGAGAGGCGGGGCTATTGCGCAATCATTATCAGAAAATGATCGTATAGGGCGCACACACGGAGCTGTTTGACCCCCCAGAGCGTTGCGTATGCCGTTCTATCCACCTTGGGACCCGTTATCGTTTCCTCAGTCGTTTAGTGCCGTATGCGGTCGTCCTCGTGTGGCCGAATGGTCTATATGACACTAAACAGTAACGCAAACGGCCGTTTTCGTCCTCGTGTGGCCGGGGCATAATGTGTTTCTCCTTAAGCTTGGAGCCCCCCTCCCTGTGAACTGCTGCCAGAGGAGAGGGAGAAAACAGCCTACTCTCTTCAGAGACACCCATAAATCATAGACCTTACACACTCAACCTAAACAAACCACTTTGTTTTGTTTATACTGTAACTATAGAAAAACCTAAAATATGAAGTATTTTTCATTGTGAGTTATACAAGAATATAATTGATTATATTTGATTATAACTAACTTTCGTTTTAAGTATTAAACATACTATGAAAACTCACAACACCTGCCAGACTCATCGTAACCATCAACGAGGAGACTTTCATATTCAAAGAACCCAAGGAAGCTGAGAAAGTTCTAAAAGAAAAGAGACCTGATTTATTTGGGATGTGACATTACCAAAAGACTGTGTGTTGGCCTACGCCCCCACCGCACGCGCACACACACACACACACACACACACACACAATCATTTACACTGACGCACACGCATGCCCGCACATACACTTACTCACAGTCACACACACCCTCATTAGGATTTTGATACAGGCTATACTGTAATGTAACCAAGCACTTCTTATAAATACTACCTTTGTTAGGTGTACACGATCAGAGGAATTACCATGAAGGTTTACTAACATCTATGCATAGTGCACTTAGTATAATTTACTGTAGACTTTGGGGGAAGGTCCAGAGTTTACAAATGTTTTAAACAAGAGACCATCAGCGACTAAAACATGTTTACTAATTAAAACATTACAGTACAAGTAAGTGCAATCTTTAAGCCATTGTATATTCAATTACAAATATAAATAGTAAAGCTTCAACTATAAGGTGTTATGTACATGTCTACATAAAACACATACTTTTTTTCCCATTTAAAAAACCTGTGTTTCAGTAAACAAAGTGTAGACACATGCAAACTTAAGAATGTAAACTTTCATTGATTAACCTGCTGCTTAAAGAGGACATCAACCTTAAGCATTTTGAACAAGAAACAGAGCAGTGGCAGTTCCTATAATCTTTTGAATGTACAAGTCACCTATTGGTGAATGTCTTTTTTTCTATATTGAACTTCAGGCTTGTGTTAAACCCGCACCATTAATAAAAAATGGAAAGATTATTTAGAAACTGCAAAACTGACATTATGGAAGTGACATTTCAGTCAGAAGAGATGATTAGACAAAAAGAGGGAGAAGACGAGGAAGACAACAGAAACCGGCAGATCAATTGTTTGATTATTGTGTGTGTATGTTTATTTCTTTGTAACTTAATATCATACATTTTATACCAAACATAACATAACAAACATGATAAAAGACAGCAATGAAAAATAAAATGATAATGTTTTGTTTGGTTCTGAAACAACATTTTTTTGAAGAGTGTAGAAAGCTTTTCAGATAATATAAGATAAGATGGACCTTTATTAATCTCCGTGGGGAAATTCAGGATACATTTGTTAATAAATAAGTAGGTTTTGCTGGATGGATACCAAAAAAACCTGACTCTTGGATGTAAGGTGATCGTGGGAAACTTGGCCCAAGTCAGTACTTTAAAAAATATATATATGTTGCAGCTGTGTATAGGAGATAACTAAAAGCAGAAGGTGCAAACCCTCCAAAAAAGAAGTAAGAGGTTTCTGCAAAACCAAAGAGCAGATGATAACAAGTTGCAACAACATCATTACAAAATAAGTTCCAGTGAATCAAGGGTAGGGGTCATATTCTCAAGTTTCCTGGAACTAGCCATGTTGCTGTTTGTTACATCCTCATCTTCTGCTTCAACCTGTTGCAGAACAAAATACAAAATGAAATAACTGAAGAAATATCAAAGAGAAACCCTATTTATTCAATACTAGCAGCGGAACATTTGAAAGTTGATTATTTTGAAAGTTAAAATACACTAACCTATATGCTCTTTCGTGCACTTATTTAGTGCTGTACAAGTAATGGTTTTACTGGTTAAGGGTTACCTCGCCTGAAGATGTTCTCACATATCTTACTTCCCCTTCAGCCTGTGTTGGAGAAAAAAAGAACGTCATTTACAGATGAGATATTTGTTATGAACTCAGACACTCAGGATATAGGACCCAATTGCACGACCCGGGAGACAGAGGTAAAGTATTGGTAAGATTTTATTTTTTTTAATTTCGGGGGATCACGTGATGACACCGGCGAGCTGAGCGGAGTAGTCGGGTGCAGGCGGTAATCAGACTTAACTATGATTTAACCAAAACTGAAAGTCTCAAAGTGTAATGCGCAGTCAGTTCTATTAGTGTGTAAAAACATCTGCGTCTAAATGCCCGGCAGTAGTTTGACCAGAGCTAGAGCAAAGAAAGACAGCGGCCTCATGGCGGATATGTTTGGAGAAGAGGAACACGTCCCCAAGTGGGCTAATCAATTGCTTTCTGAAATACAAAGCGTTAAAGAAACCTGTAACGTAAGGTTTGACAATCTGGACAAGGCTATTGTTCAATTGAAGAAAGACTCTAAGGCAGGGGTGCCCAACCTTTTTTGAACCGAGAGCTACTTTTAAAGTTGCCAGTCTGCCGAGATCTACCAGTCCAAATAGAGAGGCGTAGCCATTACTGACAGCCTACTACCAGGTAAATACACACTTCTACTTGTATAAAACTGACCTTTGTACGATTAATACTTCATAAAATACTGCAGATCCTTTATCTTACCTATTTCTAATCTACACACATACAAGTAGTTAACTGAAGTTATACAACAGTGCTGTTGATACAGAGTTGAAGTTTATTCACATGTCACATACTACAGTGGGTAATGTTTTCAAGAAACATTGAACAGTGCTGCCACATATGACACAGGACAAAAGAAAAGACTCTGAACCCTTTCTTTGCCATTATATAAAAATAGTGTTGCTACAAAAGTATAAATTACGCTTACTAATAAGACAACTCAGATCTGAAGCTACACAGGAATCTGCTGCCAAAGTGCAATAAAAAAGACAAAATGTATAGAATCAAACCCTTTTTTTGTTGCATTTTAGTAGATTATACAAATAAATGCCTTTAAAAATAGGATGCAAGCAACACTAGTTTCTTAACCTGAATTGATAATAGACTATAATCAATTTAAACAGAACAGATCTTAATGTTTGCATTCTTATACCATTTTGTACAATAATTATAATGAATAAGTTCAAACAAACTAAAACTTACAGCTGATTAATAACGGTATCCAACTTGAGTTTTTATTATGTCAAAAACCTGTTGAAATGCTTCTGTTATTTTTTACTGTCCCCCAAAAGCGCATCGGCAGCCTCCAGGAAAGCTTCTTTCACAACTTCGCCGTCTTTGAAAGACTTCATGTGTTTCTCAAGAACGTGACTGACACGATAAGATGCTATGGTAGCAGCCTTGCTCTTGTTGTTGGGCCTGGTGGAAATGGACTGCTGTGCATTTAGCTGTCCTTTCAGGCCCCTCCCCTTTTGGAGCGTAGGGCAGATTTAGG